AAGAAATGGGTGAAACTAATGTTAATATATTTGATTTAACTCAATATATTCAGAATATTATCTTTTTAACATGTAATGAAGATTAAAAATATTGATGAGATATTTTACATTGCTTTTCTTTTCAAACCAAGTGTTCCAAACCCAATGCCTATTTTATATTTACAGCATACATTACAAGTACTCAAGAGCCACATGATGCCAATATGCTATCATATTGGCAAGTGCCTAGAGCTTAGTCCTGTAAGGTACCAAATTGTCTTCTCCCTTTGCCCAATCCAGAATTCCAGAAATGTTTGCATTTCATGTGAGCCTCAGTAAGAGGAATAATGGGACTGGCTGTTGATGATTCCATGCTGTGTTAATGCTACTCAACTTTACTTCTCTCTCCATGACAGAGTGACAATTTAAAGAGGGGCTGACCTGCATCCTAATTGGTCAGACGAGACTGGTTTACTGTAGCCCCCAGTTTGAAGCATAATTCAGTTGTCTGTCTTTCTAGATAGAAGAGACTTTAATTCACAACTCTTAACCACATGCCCTTGGGCCCGGATCTCTACTCAGCCCCCAAATATAGCAGTGGATGCTTCTGAATAGTAAAGAGAAAAGGCGTCATGCCCACAGTCCAGCTGCACAGTCATTTAACACAGGAAACAAGGGTGACAGCAAGGTTCAGGGAAGGATTTTCAAGGGAAAGTAATGTCCTTTGAGACCTGTTCCCTGAATAAACTCCTAGGGCTAAGCAAACAAACAGACTGGGTTCTTGGGAGTTTTACTTTTGACCTGGGAGCAATTACGGAGTGACTTTAGGTAATCCTTTCCACTTTCATGCTCAGTGGGAACTTCTTCTATATTGGAATGGGGGCACCCAAGCCACCAGTGACCTGCAGCATGAAAAACGTCCCAAACCTTGTGAAGACCAATGACCAGCGTGATTGTGTTACCAGTCCTCTCGCAGGCCCTGTGCTTTGCCTTGACCTTTCCTCTGGGAGAGATGCCCACTGTGGGAGCAAATGTGTGTGGCTAGCTGGTCACAGCTCTCTCCTGGTGGGCCCTTCTTTGGCATTGCCCAGGCTGGCAGGCTGCCTCTCGCCTCTCCTGCCCAGCTGAGCAAGCACAGTACCCTGTGGTACAGCTTCAGGCAACACTGCATCCCGCCCCTCCCTGCTTTTCCGTGGTCTCCTCCTTAGTGACTGCTACAGCGTATGTTTTATTAAAAGGGAGAGAGAAGGGGAGACAAGATGTTATGTGCATGGGCATGCTGAAGAATCTTAAGATTGAAAATCTCCTCTCAGTGCTAAATGCCTAAGGGGTTTGGCATTTTGCCAGCTCTAAGAAAACCCCAGGAGGAACATTTGGGTGGAGAAATAGGAAATGGAGGAAAATCAAGGCTCTCTCTTAGGAGATTCTGATTCTAAAATATGAGAATTTTGTGTGTGTGTTCTCTTAAAATTTGCTTGCTTGTCCACAATATCCTCATTCAGATTTTTTGATATGATATTGATAAGCTCTCTGAGGTTGAGCAATACTTTTCCCACAATATATAGATTAGACTTGAGGATGGGTGGAAGGCCAGGCAATTTTCAATGTCTAATTAGATGCCCAGAATTCCAGAGCTCCCTGCCTAGGTTCTAGGGCAACTTCCTGTAGACCAATATATGTTTAAAATAATTTAACCATCACACCTGTAATCCCAGCACTTTGGGAGGCCAAGGTGGGCAGATCATGAGGTCAGGAGATCGAGATCATCCTGGCTAACTCGGTGAAACCCCGTCTCTGCTAAAAATATAAAAAATCAGCTGGGCATGGTGGTGGGTGCCTGTAGTCCCAGCCACTCGGGAGGCTGAGGCAGGAGAATGGCGCGAACCTGAGAGGCGGAGCTTGCAGTGAGCCGAGATCGCACCACTGTACTCCAGCCTGGATGACAGAACGAGACTCCATCTCAAATAATAATAATAATAATAATAATTTAACCAGGTGTATGGTATTTCCAGAATGCAAGAAAAGAGGTGGCCCAAGGAATCAAGCAAGCCTCGAAGTTTCCAACCTTCCCAACAGTGCTACAGTTATTATTTCTGTCAGTTAGAACCCTTTCCCTCATTCTTTCTATCCAAACAAATCCCACCCCATCCTTTATGGCTCAACTCAAATTCTCCTTCCTTTGAATACTGATAGTTCTCACTATCTGTACATATCAATCGCAGATGAACTAGTTCGGCCTTGTGAATTCTCTGGTACTGAATTGCTGTTTAGAACCTACGTTGTCATTTCCCTTTTGTCAGATGCGAGCCTAGTTTCCTAACTAGACTGCAAGATCACTGAAGGCAAGGGCAAAGGCCTATAAGACTTTTATTCTTCACGGCTTTTAAGTTACTCCCAGAGGAGAAACCCTGTGTCATTGTAAATCTCCATCCTTATAAAGTACAGAACAACTAATTCAGATTATAATTACTAAAATCAAATTATTCCTTAGAAGAAGCCCATGGAGTCTGGGGGTGGTTCAAGAGTGATGAGACTCGGATCCCATTCCATAGTGTCCCTTAAGTGCTGCGTGACCCTTCATAAAGCAGTTCCTCTTTCTGAGGTTCTCTGCCCTCCCTTTTCCAAGAAGGGGGTTGAAATCATTTTAGCTTTACTTCTTAGGGTAATCAAAGATAAATGAGACAATAAGCTGTGTGAGGATTAATTAAATGAGCTCTGTAAAGTGCTCTCAGCCCTTCGTAAGAGGATGCCATCATAAAATGTATACAAGGTCTTATTATTTAAGAGAAAGAGTCGAATCGCCAAAAATACACTGCGCAGTGGGGAAAACAAAACACTAACCAGGAAACCTCAACTAAGCATCCCAGTCAGCAGAAAGTGCCCACGCAGATGTCTCAAGTCCCTCCAGATTACCTCTTGTTTGTGAGTTGGGGAGGGATTTCAGAGCAGTGCCTCAAAGGAGTGTATCATTTTTCTGCGATACTCCCCAGTGGCTAGCCTGTGTCTTGGGAAAGGGGATCAGGAGAAGGTGATGACGCAGGGTTGTTCTTTGCCCTTTGGCCTTGCTCAGTAAACAACCTGTCAGGAAGCCAGAAAGGAGCACCTAGAAGATAATTTTGAGGGCCAAAAAGAGAAGATGCTACCCATCTTCGAGACCAGCCCTATGCTGACAGAGCAGGAACCTTCCTCCTTCCCCAGCCCTTTTTTCCTCACCTCCTTTCTTGTGCCCACACTGCAGCACACATCACTCCATTCTAGGAGACAAAGCCAGCTCCATTTTTGGTGAAGAGGGGAAGTAAGAGTCAAGAATGCTTTGTCTTCTCCATGGCTGCAGCCCAGCTGTCAAACACTTTGGAGCCAGCTGACCTCCAGAAGGGGAGACTATGGTGTGACATTTGCTTCCTTTCTCTCAAACATTTCACAATATACATGCTCTGTGCCTTTTCACATCATATCCTTCTCAAAAAAGCAAGGCATGCATCTTTTCCTAGAGTAGGCAGCAGCTCTGATATTGATAAGACAGGATCATTGTAGCAGCATTTCTTGGTCATGCCCTCAGTGCTGCAAAACAACTTATTCTGGGTGAAGGAGGACTCCAGGGGGTCATGCCTTAAACAAATAACATACACACAACTGTGTGAGTCAGGAGGGAAAGCACACAAACTCCAGCATCACTTTGCTGTTGTCTGATGTCATCAGACTGCCCCCCAGGGGATTTGGTAAAATACTTTAGTTGCTTGGTTAATACTGGCATTGCATGTATTTTAGCTAGCATGGTCAGAGAGAGTTACTTCAACATACACATGTCTGGAGAAGGACAGAGGCAGAAATTCTTGACTTACACTCTACCTTTTATCCCTCTGATTGGTCTATGCTGACATAACACTGTCCCTGCTGAATAAGGCCCAGATTACCCAACTATAAGCTTGGACTTTTATAATTGTTATCCTTCTAACAAAACATTTGTTTCTGCTCCTAGCACCCTGCTCCCAGGGCTGCAAAGAGCACACACACAGTTCTTTACAGAGGGGTCTGTTCAATCATGTTACAGTGCATTTGCTTGAATATTAGTTAATATTTGGCTTAGGTCTATATACCCTGGATAAATATGTACCATGCAGAGGGACTGCTTGGCGAGGAGAAAAGTCCTCTGGGCTGGCAAAACAGCTCACAAGTTCATGTTCCTACTAGACAGGAACACTCCAGGCATCCGTGGTTTGGGCAGGGTGCTGCACATGCTTGGTTCTTCTGTGGGCAGCCTGCTTCCTGCATACAGCTGTGAGCACAAGCACACATACACACACACACCACAGGCAGCATTCGACAGTGTACCCAGATGATCACAGAAACTGAGAGAGAGATCTGCTAGATGATACCAGCACATCCCACCTTTCAGCACATCAGTGTTCTTCCCTAGTGTCTCCAGTGCTCTGCCAGGCTCAACTCAATCAATGGGGCTTCTGCCACCACTCTGGGGAGACTATTTGCAACCTACAGGGTTCACTGTTTGGAATTTTATTTTCCTGACTGCATGCGCATGGGAAACATGCCATAGGGCTCTATGAGCACGATTATATAGATATCGTGCATTATAACCTCCGCTCTTTGGGGTCCTTCCCAAACATAATGAACCTCTCAGCGTCAGCTGGGCAGGCAAAAGTCCTCGTCATCTTCTGCAATTATGCAGCCCTATTGCATTTTCTGAAGCTAATAGGAGTTGCACTAACTTTGAGGACTTAAACCAGGCAAAAGCAATATAGGTCAGGCAGGGTGCCCAAACCCTGTGACAGCCATGCAACACCAGGAGACAATACCAGAGCGATCTCTCCCTCAACCCCAAAGTCCATTGCTCGGCTCCACAAGACAGCAACTAAGAGAGGTGTCATCATTCCCTCTGCCTGCAACTGCCAGGCACTAGGGCAAGAGGGTTGTATGAGAGCCAAATGGTCCCTTTACCAATGGACACACCAAAAAGGACAATGAAAAAGGGGAGAAAAATCACCGAAACCCTGCACTGTTACCTTGAATCCTTGCAAGAGCCCTCCTTGCTGTATCAGCTGCTCCCCAAACCTTCAACGACTGGGAGGAGACTCCTAAAAGATTCCAGGTTTTTGTGCAACATCTCCAGTGGCAGCTTTCCAAAGTTTTTACTTCATGATTTCTTGTGGCTCTTTCTCATTTGGGGAAACGCGAATGCCTCCCCCTCAGCGTGTGAGAGGGAGCGGATGTCTCTTTTCAAATTCTCTTGCTCCCCGCTTTACTGTCGGTGCCGCCGCCGCTGCCACCGCCGCCAACGTTAGACCACTTGCCTGCTGCCTTCCCGCTGAGCAGCCAGGATCCCGGTCTCCCAGAGCATCTTTGAAGTGAGGCTTGGGCACTGGACCGGGGCGCACGTGGGGTGGGAGAGGTAAGGAAAGTGCAAGCCCCAACTGGGGGAGTCCCCCTGTCCCTCCGCCGAGGAGAAACCCAAGATTTTGCCTTCTTTCCAACTCTAAAGAGACTCACCCACCAGCTCTCTCACCCGAAATCACAGACTTGCACATGGGCAGAGACAGGTCTTCTGGCTTCACCGCTCCCTTGGCTGCCTGCAGACCTGCCCCTGACCTCGGAGCGCACGGTAGGTGCACATCCCTGGGCAAGTCCTTAGGAGATTCTCCGAGCTCAGCGTAGGTGCTGCCAGCGCAGCGGCGAGCAGCTTGCGAGGCAGGCGGATTGCATCTCAGAGCTGCAGCCCGGCGCGTCCCCGCTCCGACTCCCCGCTCTGTACCTAAGCAGTGTCACCTGCAGTCTCAGACACCAGATGAGTGTCTTAAGATAACAATGCTGCCCTGCCTGCCTCTCTCTTTCTTTCTTATGCACGTAGGTTGGCAGCCAATGGGACACAGCGCCACACTCCCCACAGGTGCCCATTGGCTGGGCGGCTTGGCAGGAGGCGGGCTCTGAGCCTCACTGCTGTCTCCTTTGGTGAGCTGGCAGGCTGGGGTACCAGCTCTGTTAACCCTCCCAGCGTTGCAGTGGGGACTTTTTGGTGTGGATAAGGAAGCCTTGGGTACATTCACGGGTAGGGTGTTGGACACTCTAAGAAGGCTGGGGAACAAGAAGTAGCTGGGGAGCTAATTACATTTTCTTCTAATCTTCCTGAGTTACAATAATCACTTGTCCCAGCCCATTTTGTTTGCTTGCTTAACTAGAACTCCCAGAGATTGGGACCCATCTGAGCCATTTCCCATCTAATTTGAGGTTTTATTTGGTTGTTTTGTGCATTTTTTAGCCTCTTGGGTTACTTAATTAGAAATGAGCCCCCAAGTGAGAAATAGTACACACAGACACACACACACACACACACACACACACACACACACACACCCCAGAGATCCAAGGGGAGAGAGAGGTAAAAGAGAGCAAGAACCCAGTAAGATGGCTAGAGAGTGAAAGAGATTTAGAGGCCAGGGCAGCTAAATCAGGAAACATTCTGTCCCCACACCAGAACTGTAAGGACAAAGGCAAAGAGGAGAACTTCAGGTTTCTGGGGAGAGATTAAGTTTTAAAAATGTCCTTCCAAAAAAGGGAATTGTTTTGCCTGTGGTGTTTTCCCTCTGTGTCTTCTTTCACTTCTGTGTGTGTCAGGAAGAGGGACTGTGCATCTCCGTTTAGTTTTTAAAGGAAGACTAGAGAAATCAGAACAGGACCAGCCTTGTTTCTGTGAAGCAGGTGCTGTTACTGGGCCTGTGAATTGAGAGAGAGGGAGGGAGGAAAAAAGGGAGGGAGGTGGAGGGAAAAGGGAGGAAATGAGAAGGGAAGAAAATATTAACTTTACATTGAAGTGTGAAGTATATATTTTTGATGTCCTCATGAGGATACAAAACTGAAATATGTCCCACTAACTAGTGTACTAAACTAGATTTTGGCAAGAGCATGGGAAAGAGAGTAATAGTTGAAGAAAAATCCAATTCAAGGGAAGAGCTGGGGACTGGAGCTGTGGAAGGAACTTGGGAGATCCATGCTATGTCGTGTGGTGGGGGAAGTATGAAGAAGATAAATATATAGTCAGAAAGGGAGAGGAGTCTTTCAATTTAGTTTCCTTAAATGGAAAGCAACATCAGAGATTATTTTGTAAAGAACTAGAAAAAAAAAGTATGCAGAGATTTAATGAATGTTTAAGAGTACACATGGAGATTAGCTAAATTGCATCAAGTAGCTGTAAGTTCTGAATGAATAAAGAAAATTTAGAAATTTTCTTTATTTATCTCCTCAGACTCACACATCTATCACTTTCACCTATGTTTTCTTCTCTGTATCTTATACAACTTTGAACTTCCTTCTGTATACTGCAAGTATCTGTTTGCCTAAGCTACAAAACATGCCAGAGAAGGGTGGTCTCACAGGGTCCTAAGCTCTCTGTATAGAATAAAGTATCCAAGTGAGCCACTGAAAGCCTGAATATATTGCTACCCAACTGCTGAGTCATTTACTTTTATGATGTCTAGAGACAGAGACCCACTGAACTTGTCCCAAGTGATAACACACTGAAATGTTAAAATAGCACAAGGGAGTGGGTAAATGGAGAGAGGGGTTGAACAAAGGATTGCTAATTTCAACGGAAAGAAAGTTAAAATTTCCAAAATCTGTAAAAGAGAGAGGAAAGAGGTGAAGGCAGATAAGAAGATAACTTGAAAAAGAAAACTTGCTTGTGCTTTCTTCTCCTGTAAAGTCTGAAGCCATGTAAAAAAATTTAAAGAGGCAGAATATGCATTAAGAATGGCCACAGGTGTATAGTTTGATGAATCTTTGCCTATATATGCATCAATGTAACCATCACTCACTTTATTTCCAGCACCCCAGGAAGCATGTTCCTGAACTTTCTCAGTCAAAACCCTCCAGTCCTCAGAGATGACTATATTCTGACTTCCATAACCAAAGATTAACGTTACTTGCTCTTGAACTTTGTAAATATAGGATCTTGGAGTATACACTCTTGTGTCTTGATTCTTTCACTCATCATTATGTCTCTGAGATTTAGTCATGTAGTTGCATGTTTTATTGCTGTGCCCCATTCTATTACATGACTACATGGCATTTATTAATTCTGCTCCTGATGGATATTCGGGATGTTTCTGTTTTTTTTTTTTTTTTTTTCTATTGTAAGTAAACTTGTTATAAATGTTTTTGTGCTTGTCTTTTGGTGGATGTATGTAATCATTTCCTCTGGGAAAACACCAAGGAATATAAATTACTTAATTTGCTTTGACTACTACGCTGGAGAAAATCACCTGAAGATGACTCTGAAGCCTATTATCTTGCCAAAATAACTGAATAAAGTGATAGTGGGAAAGACTATCGCTACTGAGTACCAACTAAATGCCTAAAATGTGTCACATTCTTTATATACATAATCTCATTTCCTCCTCACAACCACCCCCAAAACTATGTATTATTCCTGTTTTGCAGATAAGAATATTGAATTTAAGACCCTGTATTAGGAAGTAGCTGTTGCTTTCCTGAGTGTATGTATATGTGTAGATATGTAGATGTTGGGGGAGATGTAAATAAACACCCAGGGAATGGAGCTAGAGGAAGGAAAGTGATGGAAGTTCTCACTGCATAGGTGCAGCAGGAGATTGGCTTGGAGAGATGGGACAATCTGAAGAATAAAGAGTGTTGCATTTCAGGTGGACAGAATGTTATGGGAGGAGTGAAAATAGGAAATAGACTTTAATTTGGTGGAGAGATTGTGTGTGTGTGTGTGCGCGTGCGCACGTGGTGGGAGGATAGAGATATTGTGCAGTGGGCAATCTATCTAGACAAACGATGTGAGATTTACAAGATTTTTAAATTTCTAAACCATGAGGTTTGAGTTTTATCATGTAGAAAAAAGAAAAACTAGAATGACATAATGAAAGTAAGATTTCATGAAGATCAACCTGGTAGTTGTGTACAGAATATGTTGCTAGGAGGGAAAGGAATCAAAATCTATTTTAATAGTCGAGGAAAGAGGCCATTGGCACTTAAATACACGAAGGTGTACCTCAGGAGAAAAGTGAAGATTGGAGATAACAGAGCTTGCTTTTTATAGTGTTTTAAAGAACAGAAATTTTCTGAGAATTAATAAATGCCATGTAGTCATGTAATGCACTAGTACACAGCAGTAAAACATTGAACTACATGGATAAATCTCACAGACATAATGATGAGTGAAAATACTAAGACACAAGAGAGCATATAGTCTAAGATTCTGTATTTATAAAATTCAAGAGCAAGTAACATTACTCTTTGGTGATGGAAGTCAGAAACATTTTCTGTGACCTGCAGGGGTGAGCGGAGATGATTGGCCCCATTTGTTGATGGGGAACTAAAGACAAGAATGGTCCAAGTTTATCTCCAAATAGGAATAATACGAAGTTAAGTCTTGAATCCAATTCTATGATTTCACTCTATCATTATGCCTCTACACAAAGGTGATGATCGAGATGCATAACATTTTCCCCCATCTCATTCAAATGTGAAACATCATGCACTAGAGATGGCCTGGTTTCTATGCACTTCAAACTTTATCCACATCTCTAGGTATTTAATTCCCTAAGAAAAGGCCATGTGACATTATTTCCATTTTTACAGGAATCAAGTACCCTGGAATAATATATTCCCTTTAAGAAAATTCTACAGTTTCTTTTGTTTGGTTCTTATTTACAGAGAGAGAGAAGGTCTAGAAAGACTTGAGATACCAACTACCAACTATTCCCAACTCAGTGTACATTTTAAGAAGACTAGATATTGACTTATTAGAAAATCAACCCTAAGTGATTCACTTGGGCTTTCTAACGTGACTCAAGACTCTTCAGAGAATTAGAAAGAAAGATTTCAAAGTGACGGTAGATTATATGCTACTCAAAAGCAGTAGGAGTATTCTTCTGGCTGTGCTAAGCCTAATGCTTATGATATGGTAGGTACAGAAACATTTGCTGAATTAATTACTGTGGTCCATAAAGCCCAGTGATTTATCCATGGGTGTACCCTAGTGTACCGTAACTATATAGTGGAAAGAGCAGTGGGCAAAGAAATCTTGTTTGTGGTCTTAGCTCCACAGAAGACAGATCACTATTTCATGGGCCTCAATTTCCTTATCTGTTAAATGAGAGATTGGACGAACACATGATCAGGTACTTACAGGCCATTTCTCACATTCTAGTATCGAGGGTGTTTTCCTGACATCCACTATAATTATCCAATGGCAAATAACCTTGCATAAATAAGTTTAATAATAGATTGTTTTATGCTAGGGAGAACAGAATGAAAGAGATATCATGGGGTTTTTGTCTGACTCAGTTTCTCTTAGGGGAGCAATGACGATGAGGATGAGTTTTCAAAAAGTCGTTAGCTGGTACATATTTTTTACAGTAGTTTACAGTAGTTTGCAATGCTGCATGGTAAGATGCCTTGGGGTTAACTCCCAAGTAAGTTAGGTATAAAAACTTAACTAATAAAGTATCTTTGTTCTTCTTTCCTTTGCATATGTGGTAAATGATCTTTCACTACTTTAACATTACCTTAAATATGGCTTATTTTCTCTATTCATTTAGTTAAACTTTGTAAAATATATGGCAAAAGCGTTTTTGTCCTTTAAAGAACATATTTTCACATATGCCAACAAATTGACACCAAGTAGAATGAAAATGTAATTGTTTCTTAAGCAGGGGTCCTCTTTTAGACCAGTAGTGAATTATATTTCTAGATAGAGAACTACAAATAACACAGTCTTCATAGCACCTCGTATTGAAGTTAGCGTTGACCCAATAACATCGGAGGGACACGCTTTGGAAATAAGTTATTGGTTATCATGTGAGAGAAAGTTCAGTTAAATGTCAGATTTCAGA